TTCACGTTTATTAATAAAAGGTTTTTTTCTTTCATACACGTGTGAATTTCAACTTCGAAAACATTAGGGTTAGTTCGCGACGTCAGGTGATGGACTCGGTGATGCTCGGGTGAAATCGGTTAAGTCCGCCCGCAGTCCTTCCAAAATTGGTATGTTACGTTAGAATGTCTCTTATATATTCTATCTATATGTGTAAAAAAGGTTAGAATTACCGTATTATTTCACAAACAAAAACTAGCATTTTATTCTTTTCTAAAGAAAAATAAGACTATTTCTAATGCAGATAGTAATTTTTGTACACCGAAGGTTGCTTAATATATAACGAACTTATCATATTTTCGTATTAATGTTGAAATTATTAGCACAACGCACGAAAAATCCTCACATTCTAACGTACTTTTAGAATAAACATAACCAAATATATTTAATATTATAAGAAAAAGTTTCTCCGTGTAGGGTCAGGGAGAAAATCAAAATTATGTTTGAAAATCAGGAAAAAACAAAATTTTTCTGGCATTCCTATTATCTATATCTCTCTTAAAAATACTTATTCTTTTACTTATTCTTATTAATTTTTTACTAAATTATAGTGATGGTCCAGGTGGTCCAGGCAAATGCGAGTACTCCTAATTTTCAAGTCGTTCTGTAGGCGCAAAATTTAGTATTAAGTTTGTCAGGGAAAAATTTGTAAGAGAAATTTACGAAAATGTAAAAACACTTGTATAGCCAAGATTGTAGGCTTAAGACGAGTGTATAAACAAATAAAAATAAAAAAATAATTATGATGGTACTAACTTAGTTCAGGTTTCTAATTAGATTGAAAAAGAGACTGCAGGAGTTATATTCAAAAAGTTGGACAAGGGCTTATGGGTACAATAAAGGAGGACAATTTCTGCGTGCGGAAAGGTATTTCTGTTTTTCGAGAGATAATGACTTTCTTCCAATCTTAACCAAAATCTTGATAATAATATGTATGTGTACAATATACATATATGGTAGATATTGCACCAACATATTCGTATTATCAAGATATTTCTCTCAACATTATGTCCTTTAAGTTCTTCATGGTGCCAATCGATCACGATTACGCGAATGAAGGCAAAATTCCAAAAGATTTTTTTTATTTTTTCTTTAAAAGCAACGAAATCGCCTGCGGCTGACCGTGAAGGCGGAGTATGGGAAGAGAGCGGCATTTAACTGAGCAATCGGTAGGACACCTGTGACATTTCATTAAGTGCCGCGCTCGGAGCAGCGCTCGTGTGGAACGACGACTGGACTCGAAGGTAAGTAAAAATAAAAAATTAAAGAAAATGAAACGGAAGGCAAAAATATGCTGAAGTTAAGAGAGAGAGAGAGAGGGGAGATGAAGCTTATGTGTCGAATAAAGAATATTCATCGGCGCAAAGTGGTTTCATTACTGGGGGATAAAGACCGCGGAATCCCTGCATTTGCTTCGCGGTAGCTGATACATAGTTACAAAGGAGCGAGCATTAGTAAGCGTCTCGGAAAACCGTGGGACGCATTTAACATCAGTAAACGGATCGAACTGTTAGTGGCTTCGGCCTGCGACACACAAGCCGTGGTTATCAGGGCTGTACTTACAATTAGCTTTTTGGATATTACATACAAATTAGTAGTCTATTTGTTTCACAAATACTTTCAGAAAATCATTTTTTCTAAAAATTATAAATTATAAGTCAAGTATTTTTATTGGAAACAGAAAACCCTTTTGCTTTTTAAATGATGTTGCTTTCTATAGCAAAACATTTCGATTTTCTCAGCTGCAATAAAATTGAGAAATTTTATGATCAAGTCTCAATTATTGTTTGTGCTTTGTTTGCCATTTATGGGAGAAATTAGATATAAGAATGAAATGTTTGTTCTATACGGCCCTGCTAGTTAGAGTCGCATAAAATCGGAGTCAGTGGCCGAGACCGCTGTTGAGTGGAACTCCTCTCGCTATCTGTCTCTTTCTCCCAACGAAGGTAATTAAAGATATTATCGCCAGTGCGTGTCGCCAGCCGGTGCACGAGAACTTGCAGTCGGTACGTATAAGCGAACCGAGTACATACCTATGACCGTAGGAAAGTATAACGAGCACATCGTCGACCATTCCTTTACGAAATAGCACTTATTATCAGGAAATGTTGTGATTTAACGACACATGGTCAATTCTTCTGGCCTTTGTTGCACTTCGCTATACACCTTTTGTTTTTGTGTGGGAATCATGCCATGAAAGGAGAATTTCATCTTATTACTAAAATCTGAAAGGAAATTAAAATATTAAAACATTAAAAGTATTGTTTCTCTGATTCTTATCCGTTTTCTGTTAATTGTGGGAAGTATATTGGAGAACGTATAGAATTATTCATGTTTTTAAATGTCACAATCTACTCAATGCTCTTTTTTATTTGTTTTGGGTTCCATATATAATTTTCCGGTCATTATATGAAAATTTAGAAAAAAATTATTATCACACCTCAAGCGGAAAAATATCTAGATTTATCAGTTGTTTACATCAGAAAATGATGCTTCCAATTTTACAAATTTTAATATTTCTTTGTATATTCTTTATATTAACTTTGTGCTGTTGTGCATCGTGGTTAAGGGATCGTAAATAATATTCAAATTATAATTCAACGGTTATTTAGGAAATAAATTTTTTTATTGGCTTAGATAATTTGAAAAAGGTATTTGAAAAAATAATAGATAATTTGAAAAAAAATATTACATTTACCCGATTCTTCTACTTTCAATTAATTTGAATATTGTAATTGATTAGAAATGCTTTTATGGTTTTATAATTTTGCATACGGTGGTCGAGGAATTAATAAACTTTTCCAGGTCATTGAGGTGAACAATTCATATCTTGTAATTCGAAATTTTGAAAGCAGAAGCACTTTCTATTTATTAATACACCTGGTGAAATATTTTCTTTCAACCAAATATAAATTATGACAGTCAAATAAAATTATGTATAGGGTAAGTCCGGGAGAGATGTTTTTTTTTAAGTACTGCGTAAAAAAGATAAAAAAGCAATTTTTGTCTAAACTTTTATTGATAATTAAACATTGAACACTTAACTTTAAAATAACGGAAAATAAAATATTTTCATAGAAAGAATCTTAAAATTTACATTTTTTTTCGAGTCAAATAAGAGAACTTTTTACTTAAAACTATAAATTAAATTTTCCATAACTATAAAACATGAAGATATCCATAACTCAGTGTCTTTGACTCGGAGTGATCGATTTCTTCATGTTTTATAATAATTAAATAATTTTCTAAAATTTTAACTGAAATTAATTTTTAAATCAATTTTTATTAGAAAATTCTACTAGAATTCAATTATTTAAATTCAAAAATAAATAATTTATTGAATAATTGAATATTTCTTAAAATTCAATTCCCATAACGAATCGTTATCTAAAAATTTCCGAATAATTGAATTCTATCAACGAATTTTAATAAAATTTTTAAGAATAATTACATTTTTCGAGAAATTCGATTAAAATTTTATTAAAAATAATTGAAATTCTACAATTAGTTTTATTATTTGTGAAAATAATTGAATCCCTAAGAATAATTTTATTACCATTGATCAATATTTATTTCTTGCGAAACTACTATTTCTTTGAAAAATAATTGAATTTTTGCTATATTTAATTTTTAACAATATTTAATTTTTGCCATTAAAAATAATTGAATTTTTGCAATAATTTCTAACTTTTACAAAATTGAATTTTCGATCGTGTTTTTAACTAAACATCTTCTATAAATCCATTATTTTTAATAATTTTTGAAAAAGTTCTTTGAGAATTTTCAAATTTATTTATTTACTATTCAATTTTACAAAATTTCAATTATTCGTAAATTCTTCAATTAAATATATATTAGAAAATGAAAACTTAAAATAATATTAAAAAAATCCTCAATTAAAGTTTCTAAAAAAAATTAATTCCACAGAATTGTTAGTGAGGAACATAAAAAATTCAAATTTTCAAAAATTTTAACCTGAAATCTTTTCAAAATTCAATTATTTCTAAAAATTTACGCTCATAATGCTTTTAAAATTCAATTATAATCTAAAATTTTAACTGAAATCCATTTTTAAATCAATGTTTATGAAAAAATTCAACTCGAATTTAATTATTTAAATACAAAAATAACAATTTATTGAATAATTGCATGTCTTTTAAAATTGAATTCTCATAAAGAATTTTATCTATAAATTTTTAAATAACTGAATTCTTTTGACGAATTTTAATAAAATTTTTAAGAATTTTTTCGAAGAATTCGATTAAAGTTGAATTAAAAATAATTAAAATTTTGCAATGAATTTTATTATTTATGAAAATAATTGAATTACTAAAAAGAATTTTATTATTTACGAAAATAATTGAATACTCGTAAAAATTTTATTATTTATAAAAATAATTGAATGATTGCATAGAAATTTATAAAAAAAATTTTGGAAATAATGAAATTTATGTAAAATTTTTATTATTTTTTGAAAATAATTAAAAGTTTGTGTAGAATTTTATTAAATTTTTTTTAAATAATTGAATTCTTTTAGAAAATTTTATGAAAATAATAAAATATCAATTGAGTAAAATTGAGTAAAATTTTTGAAAATAATTGAATTTCAGAGTAGAATTTAATTATTTCTAAAGATAATTGAAATTTTGATAAGAATTTTTGAAAACATTTGAACACAATTGAATTTCTACGAAGAATTTTATTACTTTTGAAAATAATTGAATTTCTGCAATCATTTGTAATTTTTCTAAAATTATCCAAATTCTATCGTGCAATTTACGAACTTTTCATGCTTTTTGAACCAAATTACGGACTTTACGGACATTTTTTCAAAAAAACGAACTTTTACGGACTTCAAGCAAAGTTACGGACTTTTACGGGATTTACGGACCTAGTTCGAGTCCTGAAAGTTGAAATGATAATTTTACTGATCAAACTCTTATTTTTTGAAACATAAGTTGTAAAGGGTAGTTTGAATTTTATTTTGACATATAACATATTTTATTTAAAAAAATACTTTTTTTTAAAAACTTTTCTATAAAGAATTTGCGGGATCATCTCCGAACCGAAGCATCTTGCGATGAGCAGGATATTTCTGGACTGGATCATCTGAAATAAAAAAAACCAAACATTTTTCGTTAATATAATAGATGAGTGTAACAGACTGTACTCTTAAATACACGTATATTACGAAAACGCATAAAAAAAATTCAATTTTTTCAAAATCCTAAGTGGATGTAACCTCTTAAAATAGTTAAGCACATATTGCCAATTTTTTTACTTTGACCCATCTGTATAAAAATTTCCCTATTTTAACAACCTTCCAGTTCCTTTGCAGAAAATATTGCATTGCATGTACTTTAACTTAACATTTATTATTTTTTTTTATTGAAGTTTAAATGTATAACAATTTCTTATATCGCCTTCAATAATCTATTTGTTACCTTTTGCTTTGTTCGCATCGCACAATTGAATCTTAAATCTCAGCAACGGCGTTAAACTTATTTGTCGAATATAAAACTTTTCGAATGTCGATCAGGATCAATGACTCGGGACTCGTGGATCCGTGACCTTAGATGACCAGGTAGCGATAGCTTCCACACCAGAGCGGCGTGTTAAGCAGAAGCTCGAGTGGCTGCGAAGCAGCAGCAGCAACAGGAGCACAGGTGAAAGTCTTTGCCTTTGCATTGTAGGCTGCCTCTCGATATTCAGACGACGTCAATCACTCTGAAATCACCATCAGTGAGAACGACCGTCTCTCGGATTCTGAATATTGCTATTGAGCCATCAGAATATATCCGGGAATTGTGCCTCGCACGGTCCATAAAATGCAGTTGGGTATTTCACCAGAATAATTTACAGTGGACAAGAGTATCGGACATATGGAAATTCTATCTCTGTGACCAAGCGCTATTGTATCACCTCTTGCAACTATGATTTTAATCATTCAGCGTGTACAAATTGATCCTTCTCCAAGTTTATAAATTTTTTTCAGTTAAGGATTGGTAAAAGGATTCTTTAAATGCAACGATGACGCATTTGATTTACGAGTTGATAATGAGCGTGAATGGAAGAATTGCAGAGCACGTGCGCTCGTCATATGTAAATAGAGCAAAAACCGAGGCAAAAACAAATGCGACTTTTGCATATGAGAGCAGCAAGAAGCAGAAGCTTAAGAAAGGATTAGACTTTGGTCCCTTAAGTTGCGAGCGAGGCAAACTATCGTCCTGGAGGATCATAAAGATCAACCTTCCGCTACCTGGCGCATAACTGAGTTGGAGGGCCAGGGGGGGGGTTTACTTCTGCGAAACTCGGCGACATTCTCAAGTTCGCCAAGAACAAACTGATCCTTCCCCCATGTAAAGATCTGGAATGCATGCACGTCGTGAGGTCAAACGCCCACAAGGAGGGGTCAAAGCGCAAGCCGAACTTGCTCCTGGATCCTCGGTGTGTTGGAAATGGATTTCATGTAGCGTGATATCTGCCGACGGTATTATAGGCAAGGAAACAATATGTGTGCCCCGGTGTGGGTTCGCATCGTGCCGCCGCCAGTCCACAAGTAGTAAGCAGAAGAGGAGGAATAAGAAGAACAAGAGAGGACGTAGTAGAAGAAGGCGGATGTACACTTGCCGCTGCGGTGTGAGGTCGCTTTCGAAGCTACCTGCATCTCTCGCCAGAGTCACGAGTCACGCGGCCTGGCCAGCAGCCGACTACCACGTCATTGCCACCACTACCATCGCACACGCTTAGATTGTATATTACTATCTGGTCCCAACTACCAACTTCCAAGCGCCGACTTTACTATCACCGAGAGATATAGGCGCGGTTGGGGCGTGTGAACGCTGTGACATATCGGGATCCGACTTTTCCCCAAGTTCTTAACTCTCCTTGCATCATCAGTGCGTGTGTCGCACCGCATGAAAATTAATATTATAAACATTCTTTAATTATCCACTGTTTGGAAATCGTCAGCAGCACTTTCAGGAATCACTTGGATTTATAATTATTATTCTCCAACCTACTCCAGCAAAAACCAACGGTTCTGATGGTTCCTCTTTCCGCTTGTCTGACACTTTCTTCGGTACGACTCATAAAAACTCGACCCTTTCCTTTACCGGACAGCTTATTCCAGTTCTTTTCTACTTTATACATTTGTTACGTCCGTAACTTTTTATTAATATACTTATTTTTACGTATGTTTTTCTTTTCCATTTTCGATATTTTGCTAAAGCATGAATCTTCAATCATTATACTCTAATTGTTATTTTCTATGTGCTTTAAACACGCATCATATTCTGTCTATTTTCTAACAAAAGTAATTATATTATCTGTTTCTTACAACAAATGCAAAAAAGAGTAGTATTTCAAAATAATGTCAAAGGAATGACGATTACGGAGAATTCAAGACAAATGTTATAATATTGTTACGCACCACTGCGGAGGATTCAAAACAAATGTTGCGACCCAAAAAATGGAATCTCTTGAAGGCCAAGCATTGGCACTCGCACCACTCGCAATGTACTAGAATCAACAATATTAACACAAAAAGAGGAAGCATCTCTGTTAGAGCAGAGAGTAATTTTTGAGAATCAACCTGAACACATCGTTCAGTACAAAAGAGTAATAATTTGTAAACCAACCTTTGCACATCGTTTAAGAGACATCAAGAAATCAAGTGAAATTAAAAGTAGTAAAACTTTAGAACATGATCTATTGTGTCAAATATTCTTTATAGAGCAAATATAAATTACTCAATGTTAAGAGTTGTTGCAGCAAAGTCACAGTACTTAGGTGATAACACCTATAAATCTGCAAGGTAGCAGATAATTATTTTGTGCAACACCTGTAAGGAAAGTAATACTTTGCATGCCTGTAAAGTAGGCGCAAAACAGTACTTTGCTGCACTAGTGCGGCAAAGAGCTTACTTTGCTGCACTAGTGCGGCAAAGTGGTTATTTTGCTGCACTAGTGCGGCAAAGTGCTTACTTTGCTGCACTAGTGCGGCAAAGTTCTTAAACTTTTGGGTTTTTTTGGTGATATACATAGGTATTTGTTTTCTATTTGTAGAATACCTGTTTTTTACAGTAATATACGCGTAAAAAACCACGAATATTAAGTGCGGTAACATACGTTCCAAACCCTGCTAAACAGTACGTATGTTGGCGTCAACTAGCGTTTCCAAACAGCTTTTTTTATCAAAACCAAAAGGTGTTGCACAAAGTACTGTGTGCAACACGTACGAAAGAAGATTTTCCAACTTCGTGCAAATTGCTGCCCTCGCTTCGCTCGGGACAGCAAACTTTGCACTCGTCGGAAAACAGCTTCTTTCTGTACTTGTTGCACAATATACTATAGTAATAATTAAGGATTACAATCATAAAGTGGATCTTTCCTACCAACAGTGTCATTCAATAAAAAGAAACGACAAAGAGTAATCTGGGTAGTTGCCCGTGAATCTTGGCGTAACAAAGTTGTATATTTAGGCAGTAAGCCGTGAATTGTTGACAAAAGTATATAGGCCCTAGTAGCCTTAACAGGGTTGCCATGCAACCTGGAAATGTCAGAGAATTTTATAAACCTTAAAAAAACCTGAAAAAGTCAGGAAATTTTGATCGAAATCCTGAAAAATTATTATTTTCTAAAGTTATTGTGTTCGCTCTTGAAATCTAATTTCACTTAAATATTTCAAAATTAATTCAATTTTAAAAGAGTTGGGTTTACACTTTACAATTTCCATAAATAGATGAATTTCAAAAGATTTTAATTTGAAATTTTAAAAAAATTTCAATTTTTAATGAATTCATTAGGGGAGAGTGGGGCAAAATGGGGTACCTTTTTGAAATTGGCTGTTTACAGAGAACCAAACGAATAAATCGATTCAGCTAAACTTCAGAATTCTTCTTTGTACACTTAGCTTTGAGGAAATTATGATAATAGCGGAGAAAAAAATTTTTGAAAGAACTTATATCGTATTTTCTAAGAAAGTGCTAAAATCCCATTTTGCCCCACCCGTGGGGCAAAATGGGGTGGCATCACATAACTATACAAAACATTGAGTATTTTTTCAAAATTCATTAAATTCTTGTTGTATGAGATTATAAATACAAACAAAAAGTAGGATTCTTTATTACTATGACAAAACAAGTAATATTTATTGGAATTTAACAAAAAAAACATGGATATTGCAAAATATCGATATATCGATAATGAAACATCGATAGTATAAATGCATCGAAGCAAAAATATCAATTCTTCTGCAGGAAACCTTTAAATATGCATAATATAATGTTTTTAAATAGTTTTAGTGAAACGGCGTAGCTTCCGGCATGCCCCACACTTAGGTACCCCATTCTGCCCCACACTGCATATTAAAACAAAATGCAATGTTTACAAGTTATTGTAAACAATTAAACAATCTATTCTATTGGAAATTACTCTAGAATAAGTACTGAAAAAGATCCCACACTTGCCAAATTAAATGCATTATCCCAAAAAGTTTGGAGAGCACTTTAATTTTGAAAAAAATTCATATTTTTTTTGCTTAAAACTTAAAAGTTGTATAACTTTCACAAAAAAATTTTCTTTGGAGTGTCTTCATAATTAATAACAGTTTCTTATCAACATGAATGATATATGTCGAGGAAAAAAAATTAAAAGTACCTATCATGGAAAAACAGAGGTACCCCATTTGACCCGCCTACCCCATTTTGCCCCACTCTCCCCTAAATAATAAAAATTTCACAGCAATTCTATTATTTACAAATTTTTTATAAATTTCCTCCCAATAATTCAATTATTGTCATAAATGATAAAATTTTTACAAGGATTCAATTATTATCATGCATAATACAATTCTTTATAGGTTTTCAATTATTATCATAAATAATAAAACTCATCGCAGAATTTCAATTATTTTTAATAAAATTTTATTGAAATTTCTCGAAAAATGAAATAATTCTAAAAAATTTTATTAAAATTCATAAAAGAAATTCAATTATTTTAAAAACCCTTCCTATAATTTATTTATTAGAATTCAAGTATTATTGCCAATGCATTTTTAATTAAATTTCTTAAAAGAATTAAATTATTTTCAAAAATTTTAATGAAATTCTTTTTGCCAATTCAATTTTTATCAAAATAATTTTAATAAAATTCTTCGTAGAAATTAAATTAATATCAATAATATATCAAAATTCAATTATTTTAAATATCTACAATTTCAATAAAATTTCACAAAAGAATTCAATTATTTAAAAAGAAATATATATTATTAAAATTCATCTCAAGATTATTCAATTATTTTCAAAAGTAATAAAATTCTTCGCAGAAACTCCATTATCGTCAAAAGTTTAAAAAAATTCTCGTCAGCATTTCAATTATCTTTATAAATAATAAAATTCTTCTTCAAAATTCAATTATTTTCAAAAAATTTAATATTATTCCTGTCGAAATTTTAATTATTTTCAAAAACTTTTTTCAATTCAATCAAATTTTTTACAGAGATTCAATTATTTTTAATACAATTGTAATCTAATTTCTCAAAAAATGAAATTATTCTAAAAAATTTTATTAAAATTCGAATTTTAAGTATTTAAAAATTTGTTGATAAAATTCTTTATGAGAGTTCAATTATTTTAAAAAACATTCAATTATTCAAAAAAAATTTTTTTTGTATTTAAATAATGGAAATCTCGCAGAAATTTCTAATAAAAATTTATTTAAAAATGAATTTCAGTTAAAATTTTAGATAATAATTGAATGTTAAACTCTCTAAATTTAAATTAGTAAAAATGGTTTGTAATTTGAATTAGTGACTGACTTTTTGCTTTTGAATTAGCAGATTTTACTAATAAATATTCTTTTTTACTAATTTAATAGTAAAATTTACAAATTCAAAAGCAAAAATTCAGTCACTAATTCCAATTAGTAAACAATTTTATTAATTCTAATTAAGGAGAAAATATTATAGAGTGAATTTTTAGAAATAATTTAATTTTCAAAAGGTTTCAAATCATAGTTTTTGAAAGTTTGAATTTTTAATACTTTTAACTAAAAATTGTGTAGATTTGATTTTTTTTTTAAATTTAATGGAACTTTTTTGAAATTATTTGAACTTTTTATTTTCTAATATATATTTAATTGAAGCATTTCCAAATAATCGAAAAAATTTCTTAAAATTGAATTGTGAACAAAAAAATTTGAAAATTTTCAAAGAAATTTTTCAAAAATTATTGAAAATAATTAATTGAAAGAAGAATTTTAGTTTTAAATTTTTTTAAAAATAATTAAATTGAAATGATAAAAATAATTTTTATGAAGTTACAGTAACAATATTTTTATAATATAAAATAATTATTTTATCAGTCGGTCATCTTCAATAATTAATTAATTATTATAAAACATGAAGATATCGATTGCTCCGAGTCGAAGACTCGGAGTGATCGATTTCTTCATGTTTTATAACAATTTTTTTTAAATTGGTTTATTTTAAGAAGCTTTGAATTTGAAATTTCTGAAAATCTTAATTCTTATGCAAAAATAATAATCATTAAATATTATATTTATTTAAAAAAGAAGAAGAAAAATATTCATTTTTCTGAGTAATAATTTTTAAACTGAATCAGAATATACTTTAGAGTGAAGGAGAAGTAAGAATTTTGTCTGAAATTCAAGGAAATGTCAGGGAAAAACAAAATTAAATTTTTCTTGGCAACAAATGTAGTTTTAAAAACCTGGAAAAATTTGGTTTTTTAACCTGAAAAACTTGGAAAAGTCAGGGAATTTGAAATGAGCAAAAGCGTGGCAACCCTGCCCAAGTTTAGGCAGTTGTTGCCTTTAGTCTCAAGAAGTGACTCGAGAATATTTGTTTAATGAATTTTCGTTGGAGTTAATATATTAACCTCGTAGTTAGAGTATTTCAGTGAGTAATTAGTATTTTATCATATTGTGAAGAATATTACGAAAGTTAAAAAGAAGATGATAATAAATAAATCTAACAAAATCTTAATTACAATATTTTAACTATCCCAACCAAAAATAAGAACATGAATCACAATATCATAATACAAGGAAATGATAAGAGTAAGAAATCTGAAATCCCAATCTCAGTATATAACATAAGATGCAAAAACTGTTCTGCATCTTATGTTGGACAATCAAAAAGAATGGTGGGTGTTCGTATTAATGAGCACAAAATTGCAAAAACAAATGTTGTTTTTCCGAAATGATCCAAAAAAATTTGATTAACAAAAAAGATAGAATCATCTCTACTCCTTTATACATCTTTATTATATTGTGGAATTAATGTAAAAACTTTTTTAATACATGATTCAGACCGTACAATTAGTTATTAGGAATTAAAATACAAGACGAACTGATCATCAAACAAATCTTAAATCTCTCTTTGAAAATTAAATACAATCTTTAACCAAACTAATATAAAAAAAGGTTTATTTGAAATTCCAAAGACATTGCTTTAAGGACAAGCTGAAAACAAGTCAGCAAAGAATGAAGACATAAGTCTTGCGTGCAAAGATACTGACACGCTTTATTTCTATGGCATGGCACGACACTTCCTTCTTTTCTTCACTTCAATGTCACAAGGGAAAAGTCAAGCCGTTTGTCAGTCAAACCTTGCCCTACTGGAGTACGATCGTTTCAGCAGGATCGCGCAAAATGCGGAAGTCCTCGTACCGTTACAATGTTATTCGAAACGAGCTGAAGATCAGAAACAAATTAAGGACTCCAGAATTCTTCGCGCTTTATTCATTTTTAAAGACAAAGGACGATCTTTCAGATATTTCAACGACGAAACAATTTTACAATTAATTTTTTCAAAATCGGAAAGAAAAATTCAAAGTCAAACCGAAGTATTGCATTACGTAATTTAGAAAATAATCGGCAAAGTAAATCTCCCGGGTCACTGAACTTACTTCTCGGATTAATAATGTGATAAATTTTACGCGACTCTGCTGCAGGTGTGCCTAGTTGTACTTCAAGGATAAGCAGTAACTCAAATCAACTCTAAGTAGAAACAGATAACGTGCATAACTCCCGTGATCGAGGAAGTGTCTTGTCAAATGTAAAAAGGCTCAATTCCCTTTGGTAAGAGGTGACATATTATGTCAACCGTTATAGACAACCGTTTATTACAGGATTACTCGACAAAAAAAAAAAAAAAAGAAATTTTGCATAATTCAAGATAATCAAATCAAAGAGTAACAGGTTCGGGACAGGTGTGGCAATGTTCCCTCACCACCTATCTTCCTTCTTGACTGGAAGTGTAAATTAATAATCTATTAGGGTGCTTGCTGCATTACCTACTCTCTTTCTTCTTTCATGAGGCGCATGCTCGCGCGTGGTTGGCGTATGAACCCGCGGGCTATGAATTAACTGACTCTGCACGTATGACTGAATGAGGATATAAAGGACTCAAAATGGTATGGCAGTGGTAAGGAGAAACTGCCCTTTACTCTACCCCAGCTCTTTTATCCGAGACCTCGTCCGAGACCTATAACATCGCCTTAGACGACTCCTCAATTGCTAAAATATCCGTTCCCGGGTTACTAAGTACTTTATTTTCCTCCTTCCTCCTCTTTATAAATCAAATATGCCAATGTTAATGTAGAAAAATGATGGGGATTTTTTTTTTTATGAAAATCAGTTCCTCAAGGTTTGTGGGATTACAGAATTTATTATTATTCATGTGCAAAAGTAACTGCGGTTTTAATACATGCTTTTACAGAAAGCTGGGGCATTTGTCAAAGAATCAGTATTTATTTATACTAGTCATTTTTTTCACAATATAATAGAGTTTTTCCATCCAATTAAAAAATCCTTGTATACTTCCAAAGTTTAAAGTATACAGTTTGAAAAAAGTTTGTAAAATTTCTTATTTATATTTTAATTAAATATTTTCTTGAGTTTTTTTTTAAATCTGATGTAAAAACGATCAATTTAAGAAACTCGGGAAATAAAATAGAAATATGGTCCAATTTAAATTACCATACAGCTGACATATTCAGTAGACAATTTTTGTGTACAGATTGCGTGACTTTGTGCAAATAATGTACATAATATGTAGACTAGAGACAGGTTTAATATTTAAATTAACATTATATGTGCACACGCAAAAGATGACTTCGACAAGGTATTTATTAAAGTCAATAACTAATTTCCGACAGAATTGTAAATTATTATACTTATAAGATTAATTTCTCTCCTTAGAAAGACAGTAAATTGAATTTTAAAATTAATGCTAGTGCTATATTTATTCACCATCAGGCAAAACAGTTTTATCCTGAAGGTGATTTAAGAGAATTTTATTATAAAGATTGTTTAGTTATTTGACTACTTTTTTAATTTTTGCAGTACATCAAAGTCTCGATTTTATTCATTGAAAAATTAAATTTTATTCATTAATGAGCTATATATGTGATTAATTAATTAACTATTAATTTTACGCGCTAATTTGTTGATAATTTATTATTTTTAAGATGTGGATAAAGTTTTATTAGTCTGTCAGCCTCCCGAAATCCAGATTCAATAGCGCCGTGAACAGTTGAGAAAAAATGTGAGTGTGTAGCTTCGCCAGCAAATAAAATCCTCTAGAAACAAATCAATTAATATCTTTAGAATAATTTTATAGCAAATGTTTTTAAAAAAATCAACATTTTAAATAATGAAACATTTAAAAGTTTATAAATATAAAATTAATATTTACGGGTTTTCTCTTTCCAATAGGTTGAGCTAACGTTGATGGTAAAATGTCGTTCGTCAAAAGATAAGTGTATGCTCCTCTAAAATTTGCTTTACTATTCCATTTACTTCTGTGTGTGAGAAAATTTGCAATTATTATTATTGCACTCTAGACTGTTTAGATATAGACAATATATGTCAGAAGTGAAATAAAAGAAGAGTTACAAGTTGGTATATTGAACAATTTTCACTGTATTTTAATTACCTAATCATGCCAGTGGGTTTTGTTATATTGTAATGTTTTCCCATAAATCTTTGAAGGGCTTCAATTATATGGTTAAAAACTTTCTCCTTTGGAATCAATTCCATTTCTTGAGAATAGTTTCCCGACAACCATCCATATAGTAAACCAGGTCTATGATCAACAAATGAGAATCTATTTAAACCAAGAAGCCATTTTTTCTCTGGCTGAAAAAAGTCAAAAAGAAATTTTTACAATAACTTCCGAATTTTACAAAAGTTTTCCTCCTTATTATTTAAAATATAAAACTATAAAGCATTTTTGCTTTGGAAATTCTCACTTCTTTTTCGATTTGTGCTCTATCTTCATCTTTCCAGTAGAAATAAAATCCAGGATCTTTATGTTTCCACCATGGTTTATCAAATGAGAGGAAAATTTTAGCTTCGTTTCCAAATCCCATTCCCTATGACAAAAGATAAAAATCATTTGGAAAATACTATTTATTTGATTTTGATATCGAAAGCAAAAAGATATTTACATTAATAGCTTTCACTTTTTCACTGGGCAATGGAGGATAAAATAGTTTGGTGTGTTTCTCTTTCAATACTCCCAGTGACACTGTTACAATTACATGATTGGCACTGTAAATTCCTCCATCAGCAGTTGTCACTGTTACTCTATCGAATTTTTCATTATTGTAAATCAATGTCACTTCTGAATTTAATATTGTATTATTCATGTTCGGAAGTTCTTCCTTTGGATTTGGAAATCGTTTCTAAAAAAAAGTCATTTTTTATACATAAAACTTAAAAAAAATTATGAATTAAAAAATTAGGAATTTTTTTGTAGGTTACCATTAGAATATCAAGAATTGTAAAGTAAGTTCGATTTTTCCAATTTAGTTGATTAGCTCCTGGACTCTTTATATATTGAATTACATTTCTAGTTGAAACGTCCCACCATGTATCGCCACCGTCTTCTTCCATGTCAATTTTATCAAATAAATGTAAAAGACCATTTGCATCATTCTTCAAATAAGGATGTGCTTTAAAGTACTTTTCAAATCTTAAAAAAAACAATTCACCGGTTTATTAATATTATAATTCAATATTGCAAGCATAAATTTTCAAATAATATTCTTGGTAAATGATTTTTAATATTTATAATTATTAATTACAAAAGAAAAAATAAGTACTCATTAAGAAAATGTTGACCAATTGGTCCATTCCTTCTCTGAGCATACTGATCCAAATTATCAACGGTTTGAAAAAAGAATTTCTTCAAATCATCTGCTACTGATTGATTCATTTTCTTTCCAGATGAATCAAAGAGTTCAAATTGTCCGTCCAGAAAATTTCCTCTTTCTAATAATCCATGAGGCCAGGCTGATTCAAATACAATATTACCTTTCTCCCCGTGGACCCATTGACCACCCATATCGACCATCTGATTATCTAGAGGTTGAAATTTTCAAATATATCAAATTATGACAAAAAAAGTTTTGCAAATTCCCTTTTTTTAAAATCGTGGATTGTTGTAAGTTTCTTTTTAATAATAGTGAATACATTCTTTGTCTTTAATAAAAAAATTTATCAACATACACTTGGTACCCCTATGGGTTCTTTATAATTGTATAATTTAAATAATTTCATTTGTTTTATCTTACGAAATAAAGTAGAATAAATGCGTCCGCCAATTCTTCCGTCTGCTTCAAAAATTTTTACATCCTTAAAACCATTTTGATAGAGTTTTGAGGCAGCTGCTATGCCTGCAGCTCCAGCACCAACAATTATAACACTTGGTGATTTTTCACTATCAGTTACTATTATACTGCCGAGTGCAATATGAATAACCCAAAAAAACAAGACTCCATAGCATAACATTTTTCTTTATTAAAAAATTGTAACTAATTCTCTTTTAATTTTTCAAAAAACAAAATAAAATTTAAATTTTAGTAACTATTTTCATTATGAGTAACAATATATAAAGAAAAACTGACGTTTGAACTGCCGAAATGAGAATTTAAAGAAAACTAAGTCTCTACTGAAGATAGCGAGGAACGAACTGTTTACATTTTTTTTAAAAAAGAAAGTACATAAGCAAATTTATCGCAAAGACGCAAGCAGACAAATCTGTTTATTTAAGTTTATTGAAACTTGACAATGATTTTTTAATATTTATTATGACGAAAGAAAACTTAATTTTTCATTTCTAGAACATCTTTTAAATGTTTATTAATGAAAAATAATTTTAAAACTTTTTCCTACAGCTGATCAAATACTTCATTTGTTTTTAAATGCAAATAATAACGTGATAACAGCTGACCTGAGTTGATCATTCTTTATCATTCAAATTTATGTAATATGCTCATTGCTATCCAATACAATTTTTTGTCATATTTTCTACTTATTGTTAATTAGTATTAAAAAATATTTATCATCTACATTGACACGTGCTTACTGTCGAAAATAATGACAAAATTGCAAAATAATACAAATGTAAATTCTGTAGAGAAAAATGATGTGTTTACTTATATACAAATATTTCGTCGGCACTGATAATTTTTTGGGATTTTTCATTATCAGAATAAATGTAGGTCGATGATTTGCAACACATTATGAGCAAACAAATCTGAATTTATAATGATTAATAGATGTAGGTATAAAAAATACGAAATTAATTTTGACAATAATTTGAAAATTGGCATATTGGAAAAATTTTTTGTCATTTCGAAAATTTGTTATTATCGTTGCAATGAAAGAAATTTATTTATGCGTGCGGTGAATACTTTTTCAACTGGCTGTACCAATCTGTCGACGGTTCATCAGCATGCAAATCGTTTGGCGAAGGGCAAAGGGTTCAAAGTGAAGATTCATATTACCTGCAGGGGTTACCATTGCCTCAGCTACGGTTATAAAAGATGCAAGCAGGTTTCATCTAACCATCGATATGAACTTCGCAACACGTGGTCTCGGACATCAGCTATGTCGATCACGCTCAGCACAATCATTATCATTGATCATCTACCACCTTCGTATCTGTCTGTAGTGTCCAGCAGGTCTTTAATTGCCAACGTTCTGTTCTTATACTATTTCGATTTTCTGCTTTTTTTCTCACAAGAAAATATATAAAAGATTGTACTGCCCTGAAAAATCATATCGTGATTTTCTTTTTGTTCAAGTTTTCCCAGTTTTTAAAAATTCAAACTGGCGGACGAATTTTTTAAAAATGACCCTGAAAACCCTCGAGTAACCATTTTTAAAAAGCTGAAATCTGGAACAATATTTTTGAATAAGGAAGACGACATCTTTTTTTGGATTTCATTTACTTTTCGGAAATAATTTTCGTTTTAGTTTACATGAATTAGTTACTCAGTTAAAACTAATTTGTATCATGACGAAGATTGGCATTTTTGCCTCAGTCTGGGAAAAGTTCGAAATGACAAAAATTTCCGTCATCCACAGTCGAGGGGTTAAAGGCGAATTATGTGTGCGATGATGGGTTTCGATATACATTACAACTCGACATCGTAGGGCCCCACTCGATCGTGGCATAATAGACATAAGAATAGGCCTCGAGAACAAGCGACTCTAATCTATATTTGGGCTAGCGTCTCGACCTTGCTTCACCTCTAGATCACTTATCCAATCCATTAAATATTCAAACGTTGCCTGATACAAAGATTTGCTCATTGAAAATACTGCAGATGCATAATAGCAAAAAGATTTTAAATTCCTCGTCTGAATTTTTTTTTAAGTCAAAAATGAAATTAAGATTACAAAAGCGGATTACTTAATCCGCTTTATTCAAAAATAATTTAATTTTCCACAGGTAGAAATGTAGGAAGTATAAAAAATAATTAGAAACCAAGTTCTTAAAAAAAACAGATGAGTTATGCCGTATGTCTCAGTGAAAACAAAAATTTTGAATGAGAGAAATGGTAAAGATTTTAATGAACTACTCTCTAAATCTGAATATGTGAAAATTCACATATTTGTACGTTATAAGTCGTCTTCTCGATCAATAAGTGCATATACACTTATAATAAGTGAAATTTCACTCAGAATAAGTGAAAAATTCACTTATTTATAAGTGTATATGCACTTATTGATCGAGAGGACGACTTATAACGTACAATAAGTGAAATTTCACATATTCAGATTTAGAGAGTATCATTAGATAAAAAGAATTTCGATAAAATAAAGATTAAAGACTTTTCATGCGCTTTACTGAAAATCAAAAATTTTCAAACTTGCGATATTTTGCTGCATTTATATTTTGGTAATTTTTAAAATGAATGTACGAAAAGATTATTCATTATATATGTGGAATCGAAGAAAATTAATGATTTCCTCTCGCTGTCAGGTTGTGTGATTCATGTTGTTCACCTGCAGATGTTAACATCCACCGGAATATCGAAGACACAAGTTGTGTAAATCAGACGCTGAAAATTGTCAAGGATTTATAAATTTCTTAAACACACACTCACATATACACATGTCAACACTTGTATACATACTCGCCCTAGCGCAAATCCGTTATCAGACAGCATTTTCCGGTATTGCCGCGTGGTTATAATTCTGACATAGTTTCCTAAACGAAGGATTGCTTTCGAACCTATACAAGATATTTCAAACATAACTACCTACATAATATACGAACTTGGCAGATTGATTCGTACATCTGCTTTTAATATCTTCCTCCTTTGGAATAAATTAACGCTTTCAATGATAAATCGCAACATTTATTGCTCTCACTATAGGTATTCGCAATCGGTAGGTGTCCAATGTACACCCGGAAGTCGTTCTCCTCTTTACGGAATTCTATGGGGAAAAAATCACACTTGGGAGTGACCAATTGGCCGGTCAGAAATTCCCACGTCAGTCGCCATAATATTTTAATGCGCAGAGAGATAAAAACTTTTCTATGGACAAATGATTCTTTCTCGAGGTAAGTTATCATTTGCCGTACTCACGTGAGCATAGAGATCGATTCACGATGTCTACAAAAAAAACAGATCGTGTTTACCACAGCCGATAATCAGCAGAAGTTGAAAAATTATTTTTGAGCCACCTTTATTATCTTTTTTAAAAAAACGGACTTTTACGGACTTCAAAAAAAGTTAGGGACTTTTACGGGATTTATGGACTTAGTTCGATCCTTGTGTATACTTGTGTTCATACATGTTTAACCTCCGTAGTTCTCACGAAAATACCAAGAAGAGAAAGGTCGCGGATTATCACCATCGGTATATTCTATTCTCCAATAGTTTCGCGTTCATTGCGCAACTAGGTTCTAACATAAAAAGCAAGCAATTCATTGTTCTTGATCGGATAACCAAGAGGCGGAATCTGGAGCTGATGGGAATTGAGGAGCAGGTGGAGAACCACTGCGCTCGGTCGCAAGTATAAAGATAGGTGATACATAGGTAGACGAAACGACGCAATGCAATGCAAGCGAAGCAAAGTGCATTCGGTGCATGCGGCTGTGTGCAAAAAGATAGCGAAGGCAAGCAAGCAGGCAGGCAGGCAGGCGTGCCCGATGGTTACGGCAATCACTGCACAAGCTCCTGACCCAACACAAACAAACCATATATACCTACTTCTATCCGTTATTATGTCCGGCATATAAAATCCTCAAGAGTTCACATCCGCGTGTCGGCAAGGGAATCGCCAACGGGCCGATGAGCGATCGTTAATTGTCCGCTCTCTACCGTCTTCCAAGCCCGCGACTAATACACATGTGCTGAACAACTTTATGCACTTCTCATCTATAAATAAAAGAAAAACTATCAACTTTCCCCCTTTTAAGTTTCTAGAGATTATCTCGTCTTTCAGGTTATTTCCCCGGAAACTCGAAAAGGTGAAGCCATTTTTTTAAGGAACTACTCTGCATATTATGAACAGTCTATAATTACAGTTTGAGACTTGGTTTTATAACGGAAGATGTCCACCTAATAGCTGCAAGGTGAAGAAGCCAGCGTGTGTTGCTCAGACTGTGTATATGCTGTTAAGGCGGTGCAAGTTACTTGTTACCCTACATATTATATTGAACAATACATATGTTTTACGCTGTAGTGCCGCTAATGAGGCCGTGTAGTGTACAATAACAATAAGTAAAATTGCTTGTTCCTTTACCCATTTTCGGACAATTCTAGCTTAAGAGTGTTGGGATAACTTGTCTCCGTGAACTTTTCCTCTTATAAAGAATTCATTAGACTAAAATATTTGCTATTTAATTCACTGGGTAATGACTTCACTGGGTTTACTTAATGATTCAACGGATAATCCAGAGTGGATTAATAAAGCATTGCATTTTAATCCAACACAACTTTCGATATTTGATAAACCATAACCATCCATAAAAGGGAGAGGTAAAATAATAAGTGTATGTTTTATCCACGTATGCAGATTAGCTGTGTGAGGGAACCACCATGGTGGAAGCGCCAGCGGGCAACCATCCGTTCGTTCGTTCGAAAGTCCATGCACAGTGATAACAACGACCAAGTTTCCTCCTACACCGCACTACCACATCTCAAACCATTCACAGACGATATTGCCCCAGGACTTTATTCCGTTAAATGAGAATGTTCGTGACATTTAGCAAAATGCACCAAACTCATCATCACTGGCCAACAGCTATCGAAAAATGTTGCTGTAGAGTTCAAATTTTTTTACAAATGAAAATCTGCTCTCATTCTGTCATTCATCTGATTTTTTTTTCAACTTTTCTTGCTTATTATGTATCTACTTATTATGTTTCCCACAATTTTTTATTATTTGATTAAAGCAATTATTAATTTTCCTGTTTAGTTGTAATTATGTAATGGTATTTTGATCTAGCATCTCCTTTGAGACAAAAAGAATATTCATTAGAAAATTATTTTCGATAGGAAGCAAACAGATGTTAGAAATCCACTAACTGACAACTTTCTAGTTGGAATCATTAACCAAGTGTAGACGGTGCCTTTCGATAACTCAAAATCATTACTACATGTTTTTGATCGTCCCAATAATCTCGCTCTCGTAAGTTACAATGTCTCGTTCTGACGAGGCTTAAACTGCAATCTTTTTATATACCTTCACTTCAATTAGGAATACACGAATTACAATCTCTTGCATGGT